ACCCATGACTCCTGGGCTTGGAGGCTGCTTGTGGGCAGTCTGTGCTGAGCCTGGGCATCCTGCAGTCTGGGGATGTTTCTAGTCCCAATGCGTCCCAGCAAGAAACTCTTGGATGCTCCAGGGCTGTGCTTTCACAACCAAAGTGAGAGTTGCAACCTCCATCCGGAGGAGTGGCCCTTTCACCAGATGATATCCATCTCAGAGAGAGAGAAAGAGGAGAGGGTAGGCGGTGAGTAGGAAAAGAGATACCACTGCAGGTGGCTGTTGAGTAGTCCTGTGATATGGCGAGCAGAAGACGCCCAAGGAATTGTCCTGACATGAGCTGCCCTGAGTTGCCCCAAAGAGTTCACACCGGGCACTGTTGTCCTTTAAAGCAGGTTTGATACACTGAGGATTTCCCAAGTCAGGAGCTCTCCAGGCAGAGGGTTGTGTCTCTCCCTGCCAAGGAGATCCCTTGGTGACGTTGGCCTATGACGTTTGTCAGCAGAGCAGGAGAAAGGAGCCCTCGGGCCCAAGGGCCATTTCAGGGGTGGCTCCTCTGGGCAGAGCTCAGCATCACCAAGGTGGCTCTTGATTGAACTTTGGAGATGCAGCTTTCAGGGATATCAGAGGAAGGAGCAAAACTGACTCCAGGGTTGTCTGAACTGCTCATCTTACACGTGTTTTGGGTACCAGCCCATGGATGTCCACCTGAACTCACAGCCCCGGCTTCAGCCAAGCTCACGCTGGCTCCTGCAGCCCTTTAGGGTCCCAGAAGGTTTGGCTCCTGTTATGTACTGGATTTGACTTTTCTCTGAGCTGCTCAGCTCCCTGGGTGGAGGCTCAGAAAGAGGATGGGATGCTGAGATGGCTCCAGAGCTCCAGGCTGAAGCATCCAGTCCCTCGAGTCCTGGGAGTTTCGTGCGTCACTACTGGTGAAATCCCCACCCAGGAGGGCTGGGAGAGGCAGGGATCATCCTAAACAAAAACAAGGCGCCGGCTGGGCTGCCAGCATTGCAAAAGGACATCTCACCTGCCTCGTCCTCCTCGGCAGCCCAGGCAGGGAGAGCCTCACTGCGGGGGGGTTCAGGTTGCTGGGGCTGGTGACAAGCACCTTGCTGGGCTCAGGGACCACAGATCCACACCAGGTCTCCTGCTGTGACAGCACCACAGTCCCAGTGCAATGACATCACTCCTAATCCCCTGTCACAGCTCTTGGTGGTGACAGCACAGGGCAGGCTGGGCTGCTGTGTCCCTCTGGATGCTGGCCTGAGGTCCTGTAGCAGGAGCATGTGGAGGGGGGGGGGGGATGGTGCACCACGCTGGGGTGCAGCACCTTGGTCAGGATGGACAGACAGGCGCAGGGAGAGGGGACAACAGTGAGGGGCTGCAGTAGGTACCACGGCTTGATCTGAGCTGAGTTGCACCTGCTCCTCTTCCTTGCCGTGGACACGGCAAGCAGAGCCCCGGGAGGCAGGGGAGGTGTCACTGCCGCGCCCCTCTGCCCAGGGAACCTGAATTCGGCCCCAGGCTCTCCGCCTCTCATGCTGAGGGTGTCAGAGCGGGGACGAGCTCGCCTGGCCGCGCTCACGGGTGCTGAGCAGGGCACCGAGCGCTGCCCGGCGAGGGGCTGATTCACACGGGGCGCTGGGGGCCGGGCTGCCGTGGGAAAGCGCGCCCGCCAGGGCTCCCGAGCGCCGAGATTGCTTCAGCGGGGGTGCAGCCAAGACCCATTTCACAGAGGGCAGAGCAGATCTCGGCTGGGATTTACCAGTGACTAAGCATGTGCTGGCACGGGCTGCCCCAGCGTGAGAAAGGCAGGGCTGCTCCTCCTCCGAGGTGTGCCTGCTGCTGCTGTCCCGGACCCGCCGCCCCGGGGCCCCGGGCACCCACCGGGCAGGGACACTGAGCACCCACCGGGCAGGGACACTGAGCACCCACTGGGCAGGGACACTGAGCACCCACACACCAGGCACCCACCGGGCAGGGACACTGAGCACCCACCGGGCAGGGACACTGAGCACCCACCGGGCAGGGACACTGAGCACCCACTGGGCAGGGACACTGAGCACCCACACACCAGGCACCCACCGGGCAGGGACACCGGGCACCCACCATGGCAGGGGCACCAAGCACCCTGCTGTGCCTCAGGGCCACTGGTGTCAGCAGACCAGGCAGCGTTCTGAGTTCAGGGGGGGCTGCAGCCCCCCAGTCTCCTCATACCAAGCTGGACTCAGCCCTTTCTCTGCCCATGGCCCAGCACCTACACTGGCCACGTGGCCGGGCAGGATGGTGTGAGCAGAGCACCTGGCGTTCACCTTGCTCAGCACATCGTCCCCAGGGCAGGGCTGGGGCAGGGGCAGAAGCTGCCACCCCCACCCTGGGCCAGGTACAGGGGCTGGAGGGACCCTGAGACGTGTCAGAGAAGCCAAACCCTTGTCTGTCAGGTCGTGGCCCCTGCTCACAGCAGTTGCACCCCCAGGCAGTGTTCCGAGGTGCCACCAGCCCCTGCTGACTCACCTCATGAAGATTTTTGGAGGCCACAACTAATCCTGCCATGGGAAATGTGTGGAAACCAAACATTCCTGAGGAGGAACAACCATCCTTCCCCATGGGGAGGATCCCCACTTCCCTACCCTGAAAACAAAAGATAGGCACAAAAAACTGCTCCCCATCCCCAGGTGGTGACACGGAGACACAGAAGGCTGTGGGGAGCTGTGTCCCTGGGCAGGAGCCAAGCATCAAGCCTGAAGCCACTACTGGTCCCTGCAAGGCCAGGCAGGGAAATGGGAAGAGGAGCTCAGCCCAGCCTATGGAGATGGCATACTGCCCCACTCACTTCATCTCTTTTGGCTCATTTTGGCAAGACATTAAAAAATTGTAACTGCAATTTTTTTTTTATTACGGCTAATTGGTGCTGCTACTAAGTGGCTTATCTGGCTCCTGAGCTCACCCCATGTTTTTGGGAAGCTGAGGAGAGTGAATGCCCAGAGGCTGGAAGATGGCATGGGGCTGGAGCCTGGCGGCAAGGGCCTGGCAGCCCTGGCAAAGGGGGAATGCCAGGCTACCCTTGGGCTCCAGGCATCTCTGGCCCAGGGAGGTGGGCCAGTTCATAACAGTAATGAATTTTTGAGAAGCAGAGAAATTTGTCTGAGGTCACTCTGTGCACCCAAGTGGGAACCAGGAGCCCATGCCTGGTATGCTGGCACTGCTGCTCAAACCCCTGGCAGGCTCCAAGCTGCCAGGGCTGGGCATCCTGGGGGATTTGGTGTGTGTGACAGAGGGCAGAGGAGCCCCTGCACGTCTGTGCCGAGCAGGGGGGGCTGGGGAGGAGGGGGCTGTTTGCCCTTGCTGTGCCATCCTGGCTGGCAGCTCCATGGCCAGGTGGTTTGGGAGCTCTCTGGGAACCTCTCACTCCTCAGTGCTGCTGCCATGTCAGGATATGCCATCCTGTGGGGCCAGCACATGACCCCAGGAGCTGCCCACCACCTCTGCCTGCCTGTTGCAATCCCACAGGTCCCTGTGAGCCCCACAAGGGTTTGGGTGCCTGTTTGGGGGTGACACCATGGCTCCAGGTCCAGCCTGTGCAAGCTGGGGTGTCCTCAAGCCTCAAAGGGACCACCTGTCCCACAGCACCAGCACTGACTCCACCACTGAAGGTGGCAGGGACTGGAACATGACAGCATCATCAGGGTCTGTCCCATGGCTGTAGATGACAACTGTGCTAAAAGGAGTCAGTCTGTCTCTCTCTTTCCTTGCTCATCCTTGGATCTCCCTGTGCTCTTCTTCCCTATTTCTCAGCCATCCTTCAGGATGATTTCCTGGCCTGGAGCAGCGGGACCTCAGGGACCCAAGCCAGGCATCCTTTATGGTCAAAAAGGATGGGGAGCATGTGCTGGTTTTGTGGAGGCTGCCAGTGGGAATCATCTCCTGCTGCAGGGCAGAGCTGGGATATGGGGGCGAGTTTATTTCCAAACAAAACATGCTGCCCTCATGGTCCCCCAGGCTGTGTGGGAGCAGGACCATCTCTGCCCCATGTGCTGAACCCAGTGCTGCTCCAGCTGCAAACCAGCAGAGCCCATGCTGGGGCCCACTTGGGAGCTGCAAAAACCTTCCTACTTTCAACAGGCTCTAGAGCAAAGCCCCAGGCAGGGAACTGATTTGTTCTGGTCGTCAAAGCTCTGCACCTCTCTCCTGGCTTACCTTGAGTGCAGAGTGCTGGGACTGCTCTGCCAGCAAAAAACAGCCCCTAAAAACAAACAACTGATGAAAGGAGTTGTGGCACATCCCAGCATGCAGGTCCTGGCCCAGCAGGGATGGAAAAGGAAAGGGAAAGTGTCAGGGAGCTGGCTGGGATGCTCCCGGGGAGATTTAGCTCATCACTCTGGGTGAGTGTGTTCAACTACACCCTGTGCTCAGCCCAAGGCACCATCTGTGGGTGCTCCTCAGCAGTGGGATTTGGAGAACTCCTTGGGGTCCAGCACCCAGCATGTCCAGACCTCTCTAGATACCTTTTGGCAAGACAAAGGTGGGGTAGAAAATGTGACTCGGTGCTCACAGGCTGCAGCAGAGCCAGGCTGAGCCCAGCATGGAGCCAGCCAAGAGCCCAGTGTGTGTCAGGGTCCACAGCCATCCTTCCCATCTTCTGTCAGACAAGTGAGAACCAATCTTGAAACCACAGCCCAGACTTTTGAGTGTCTGCTTGATGCTCTAAGGCAGCCTCAGTTGCTGGTGTTTTCTGGCCAGGGAGTGAGGGTAGGCAGCAGTTCTGGCTGCCTGGCATGGGGACGTGGCTGAGCACCATACAGGTGGAGTGGCTCTGGAGAGGAGGTTCCTGGGGCTTGTGCCTGGTGCCTGTCCCTGCTCAGCAGGACAGGCCTTGCCCTGTTTTCCCCTGTGGAATGTGCTGGGGCTGCCCAACCTGTGCTGGTGGTGCCCAGTGTGGGTTTGTGCTCGGGGCAGGCAGGCAGTGCCTGGGGAGCACAGTTGCCATCTCACTGATCATCTCTCTCTTCTCTCAGGTGTGCAACTGTGACAAGTACCTGAAGGTGTCCCGGGAGAGGATGAGGCAGCTGGTGGAGGGCAGTAGGCAGGCATTGCAGGAGCACAGTGCAGGTAAGCTGGGAGTGATACTCTGACCCCAACCCCCTCCCTGAGCCCTTGCCTGGGACTCACTGCCCTGGGCAGAGCAGGACCACTCCCCTGGGGCTGGAGGTTTCTCAGAGTGTGATCAGGTCCCCTGCCACCCATCTGCCACTGAGTGCAGACCCACAGAGCTCTTCCAAGCCCAGTTCATGTCTCTACCCTTGCTGCCCTGTCCTGCCCCATGAGGCACAGGGTCATGTATAGGATCGCCCAGCCGGGGGGGGTGATGACATTCAACAGTAGCTCAGGTGACAGCCTGAGGCCATCGCTACCTGACTGTGTAAAAGTCAGCTTGGGTGGTAAAATGCCTCTTGGCTGGGCCTGTCAGGTGCCTTCCTGGCCTGCCCAGTGCCTCCTAAACTAGGTCAGGCTGCAGGGAGGTGAGTCAGTGCTGCCTGCACAGCTGCACTCCGGCGGGCTCAGGGGAGGGAAGGCTCCTCCATGTGTGCCCTGAGCTATGCTGACCCACACACACTCCTTCCCAAAGGGACACACATTTTGGTGGTGAATGACACCCACCTCAGCACACCAGAATGGGAACATGCCCCTGTTGCTGCTTCAGCCCAGCCTGGGCTCTGGCACCAGCCATTGTGTGCACCGCTTGCCGTGCTTCAGCTTCCCCATCTGCTGACAGCAGAGAGCAGTGGGAAGCAGCGGCTGCCGGGCACTCCTGGCCAGCTGTGGCTTTGCTGGAAGCTGCATGTGTGGCTCTGGGGGTGAGGGACGTGGTGGGGCAGCTTTTCTCATGGTGCCAGCAGCCTGGGAGCGCTGTGCCTCCCCAGAGGCCGGGACATCCTCCCTGGTGGTTCCTCTGGTGAGGGCACTCACCGTGTGTGTACCCAGAGACCAGCTGGGCCAGTTCAGCCAGTTTTAGAGTATGGCAAATAGAAATACTGTGGTTTGTGTTCAGCGTGTGAGTCGTTTCCCCTTCCCCATTCTGGATGGGGATAATGGAGCTGGGATAGTCTCACACAGCACAATGGCTGCTCCACGCAGACTCTTCAGGGACTGCCTGGCTCTACCCTTTATACCTGCTCTGCAACACTCCATGTCCCCATCAGGCCATGCAGCCTCTTGCTGGATCCTCATGTCCCTGGGAGAGCCTCATGAGGAAAGACCAGGTAGGACACGTGTGCTGGCCATGTCCAACATGACCTTATCAGGGAGCATCCTCCACCCTGGAGCAGTCAGGGACAGGGACAGGGACAGAAGGTGCCACAGCATCCCCAGGGGGTTCGTGGAGACAGAAAACAGAAGCTGTGATTCCTGGGCAGGTGGGCACAGTGGAACAGTGGCACCCACCAAAAGTGAGACCCCCTGGGACTTGCCAGCAGGGTCTGCTGTGCCCCAGCGCTCTTGCCACCCAGGGGTCTCCATTTCTATTGGGATTTTACTCAGAGCTGCTGGGATGATGAGCATCAGTGTGAACTTGACTAGGTTGTCCCCAGATGTCCCACTTTGGGTCAAATTTTGTGAAAGAGAAGGTTGTGCTGACAGTGTCCTGCTATCACTTGGTAGGGACAGTGGTGGCAGTGGGACAGCCTGGGCAGCCACAGAAGACCATAAGGAAAATCTCAGTTGTTCCCTGATTTCCTTTACATTTTCCTTCTGGAGGGGTTGGTGGCAGGGACCTGCTCTGCCCCCAGTCATGGCTCAACACATGGTGTGGGGAATTCAGCACCCACAGCCCACATCAGAGCTGGCCCCTGTCCCATGAGTCCAGCCTAGGCCATGTCATCTCCATCACATCGCTGCACATGGATTAACCCCCAGACATGGGCAGGTGCTGATGCTTGAAAGGTAAGAAAATGCCTTTTCCCTGCTCCTGCTTCCAGGCAAGAAGGGATCCTTCTCGCATGGGGAGGAGCCTATGGGTCCTGGGACAGGTGGGTGACAGGGATGGATCCTGCAAGACCACCCCTCAACACAAGCCTGCAGCTGACCCGGATGCTCCCGAGTCATGGGGTCCATCTGCAGCCAACCTCAGGCCAGTGCTGCTCCTTAGGCTCCTGGATTTTTATAACAGGGCTTCCAAATGATGAAGGGCCAATTATTCATCCTGTAATAGCTCACTTTTACTTGAACCTAGGGCTTTCAGAGGTTTGAGGGAACATTTTCTCTTACACAGCCACAGTTTCCCTGCATGAGGGCTTTGATGGAAGTGCTAGAAATTAGTTTCAGGCCCTGAGAGCTTTGCCATGTGATGCCTTTTTCCCAGTGGGATGCTCTGAGCACCCTGAGTGCCTGGAGCAGACTGGAGCTGGGATAGAGAGAGGAGCAGGGCTGTGTGTCACCACAGGGCACAGGCAAGACCTTTCTGGAGGCATTGACAGCATGTCAATGACATGGGGGATGGGCTGTGTCACAGGCTCTTGTCTGGCATGGGGAAGCTTCTTGCTGAGAAAGTGCTGTAAAACCAACTGGATCAAGGCCCCCGTGCTCTGGGTGCTCTGACAGATGAAATCTGGTCCCTGGGAAAGGCAAGGATGTAGCACATTGCATCGGGTTGGGATTCACCAGAGGAGGCTGCTTTAGTTGTAAAATCCACCCCTTGCCATCTAAAACGTGCTGCAAAAGATGAAAACAATTGGTCCTGCTTCCCTTGGGTCTGTGCTGCTGAGCAGGCGTGTCAGAGCCTCTGCTCCCTCCTGGAGAGTGGCTGGGGGTGCTCAGGGACCCTCACCCATGCTGGGTGAGCACCCTCCCTGAGCAGCTGCCAGAGCTAGTTCTGCAGACCAGTGAGATCTGCACTGCCCAGCTTCTCCTCCAACACCTGCACGTGCAGGATATGTCCCAGACAACCCAACTGGGTGGCTGCAGGAGCAGCCAGGGTGTCCCTTCACTGGGTGCCAGGATGGTGTTGGGCAGCTCCAGCATTCACCTTGCCCCTGCCAGCCTAAGCAGTGACTTGGGGTTTCTTTCCCGTGTCACCCTCAGCTCCACCACCAGCCTGGGAAAAAGCCAGCAGAGACAGCACAGGGCAGGCAGGAGGGAGAGTTGCAGAACACGGTGTGGGAAAGGCTGTGCAGCAGGTCCCAGCCAGGGTGACACCAGGACAGTGCCAAGTCCCTCTACAGCCACCACACCGGGCCATCTGAGGGCTGGTGGGACCTGCTGCCCTTAGCCAGCAGGAAGAGCCCAGTACATGTCCACAGCCTTAAGACTGGGTGCAGTTTTTTTCCTGCCATGATTCCCTCATCTACAACATTTGGCTTAGCTGTGAGCATCACATTCACCTTATTGCCATGTGGGAAAGGCAGGAGGTCCCTGTGCTTTCCCAGGAGCATTCTCACACCCATGGAGCCTTATTGCCTTATACCAGACCCAGAGTGAAGGAGAGGCCAAGGCACCCCCAATGTCTCAGGTTACTGTGAACACTTCTGAAGGGAAAGGGATAGATTCCTGAAGGGTTGCACTGCTGGATCCCAGGGAGTCCCCAGCCCTTTCACCCTCAGACCAGGCAACCCCATACAATTAAGCCGTCTTTTCTCTGGGGCACAGCAGGACAATGGGAGCATCCTCACATTCCCAGTTGGGGCAGGGATGGAACTGGGAGGTGCAGTGTCACGACCAGCCAGAAACACCCCCCAGCTGGGTTGTGCTCTGCCAGCTTCCCCTCTTCAGCAGAATTTCATTTACTCATGTGGAAAGCCACAGCTGAGCTGGAGACCTGGTGACACTGTCATGACTGCAGGTTTGCAGAGCTCTGCTGTGCCTGCTGACAGGGGCACTGTGCCCAGCATGCCCTGGGAAGGAGTTGGGAGCCATTTGGAGCAGGACCGTTGCTGCTGCTTGGCACTGGATGCGGGAGCTGGCAGGGTTCTCTCCCACAGCGGCACAGAGAGATGAGAGCAACTGAAGGTGCCTCTTGCTTGAGCTCATCCTCCCTCCTCCACCCTGGGAACATCTTAAGATCATGGCCAGGCTGCTGCAGCCCAGGTTGCACAATCCCGGGTCCTTTGTCCTTTGTTTATCTGTCTTATGGAGGAGGAAAAGATAACCAGGCATCTTCAGTGCCCTGCAATCAGCACATTTCTCAGGCTCGTAACTCCTCTTATCAGGCTGATCTCTCACCACCACTGAGGTTTCCCATGCACCTTTGTACTCCAAGAATGCTCACAGGTCTGCTTCAGCCCTGTGCAGAGCCTGGACGCTGTGAGCTTTCTCCCAAACACCCCAGCCCAGGCTGAGGCTGAGCCCCCGCATGAGGTTGTGATGGCACTGGGTGTGGTGGGCACAGGGCTCGGTGCTGGCACAGGGCTCGGTGCTGGCACAGGGCTCGGTGCTGGCACAGGCCTGCCTGACCCAAGGCCTCTCCAGAGGCAGCTGGAACTGTCAGGTCCTCACCTGAGCCAACTGGGACAGGCACCTGGCTCCTGGTCCCAAGGCCTTGGTTCAGGCTGGGTTGACACAAGCTGGGACCTGGGCAAGAAACAGGACCTGAGGAGCAGGATTTTGGGCAGAAGTACCTGGCACCCCCGGGAAGTTGGGCTTACCAGCCAGCACCCTGACACTGAACCCCTGGGGGTGTCCAGGGCTCACACATGTGGGGTTGTTTCCAGCCAAATCAGGGCTGTGTGGGCTGGGAAAAGGGAATGGGTACTGGTTCAAAGGTTTGCCCTGATCCTGCTCTGTCCCAGCTTTCCAGGCTCTACTGTGCCCCCCCCCCCATCCTACCATGGGGGGTCCCAGTGCTGACCCAGCACTCCAGTATTGCAACCAACAGAATAGGCTGTAGGGACGCCAGGTCACCATGTCACCATCACAGCCACCTTTCAGTGTGACCACCACAGTCTAAGGGCCCCTCTGTGGGTGGGGGTGTGCATCCCCCTGTTCCTTCCATGTCCCTCCCATTGGTCCCAGCCCCCCATCCATGGGCAGGACCTTGCGGTGGGGCACGTGGAGCTGTGACTCCTGCCCTGTCCCTGCCTTGGGACAATTCACCTTGCCCCTCACAGCCTGCCTGTGGCAGTAGTTCAGGGCTCATGTGGGACCACCAGAGTGACGGCCTGCAGCTATGGGGTCCTGGGTGCTGCTGTGCCCTTGGGGCTCTCTGTCCCTTGGGGTGAAGGGACTGTGGGTTCCCAGGCCCCAGAGCCCATGCAGCTCCCAGGGTGTGAGATGCAGCTCCCACTGTCTCGATGCTGGGGGCTGGGGGTTGAAGGAAGGGGATCCATTCCAGGCTGGAGGGCTCCTGCTGCACCCCACGTTGTGGAGCTCTGGGGCACAAAGCAAGCTGCTGCAGAGGTGAAATCCCACTGCTGAAGGAGGCCTTGCTTAGCCCAGGATGGGTGGCCCTTGCTCGTCCCTGACGCAGAAATACTGTGTGCCCCTGATGCAGGAATGGAATTAATTCCCATGGGCGAGCAGGGGTGGGCAGGAGGTAGCAGTGTGAGTGAGCAGCACGTGCTAGGCCAGGAGGAGATGGCTCTTGTGCCGAGCAGGTCTGCCTGGTTGCAGGCGGTGCTCGGGGATAGGGATGATCCTTGCTGCCTGTGGAGCTCTGCAGCACCAACACGTTTGGGTGCTCAGCCCCAGGGTGCTGGGGTGCTGCAGGGCTCAGCCTCCCATCCGGGTTCTGTCATCCCCAGGGTGACCCAGGCAAGAGGGGGAGAGGTGAGCAAGAGGCAAAGGGGTTTTTATTTTCAGGATGTTTTATAATGGGATTATTAGTTCCCAAGAGGTGTTTCGAATCGATTTGGTAAGGAATCGCTTTCCTTTCTCCTCCACGGGTATGCGGTGGGAATCCAGCCTTTGGTCTGAACCTCAGAGAGCTCTGGAAGCCGGGGATCTGACAAACTCCCTGCATGCTGGAAGGACACACTGAGCTCCCCCAGCCCCATGCACCCCACACATGCCCTTTGCTCCATCTCCAGCGTAACTCGGGGCTGTGCAGCAAACGGGCGAGCCGGGCTGCAATCCCAGGGAGCCACAAGTCCACCAGGGAGGGCTCTGCCTGTCTCACAGGGGAGAAAGAAAAACTTCCTTCAAAAAATCCCCCCTTTCTCCAGGAAACCCCTGTTTTTCTGGGGGATCCAACCTTTTCCCAGTGCAGTTTTCCCATGTGCCCAGCTGGCATCCTGTGCCTGGTGGCCCTTTAACCGCAGTGGTGAGGGGAGTGCAGGCATCTTCAAAAGCCCTGGGAAGAATTTGGTGGGAGGGGGAGAAGGGATTTTACAAGCTCCCATTCAGAAATGGTCACTTTGAAGTGATGTAGCATTCCCAACCCTTTGAAGAGCCACAATTAGGAGGGGGCTGGTGCAAGCAAAGGCAGAATACGGGGTGACCATCACAGCCTTTCTCTCCCCAGGCTTTTAAGGGATGAACTTTCCCTCCCTGCCTGCCTTTTTCCCACGAGCCCAGGGGGAGTGGGATTGGGGTGTTTAGGGGAGTTGGAGGTTTCTCACCCCCCCGTGCAGGGATGAAGGGGTCTGCTATTGGCTTTGCCCACCAGCAGCAGGGGAGTAGAGGGAACATGTTGGAAGGGAGAGCAAATTGCTCAGGACCCCTGCAGAAACACAGAGTGTTGGTGTTCCAGTGCTGTGTCCTGGCCAGGGAATTCTTTAGGCTCCATGATGAGGAAAGTTGTTGTCCATGGGTGCCTAGTGTTGGCAGCATCGTTTCTGTTATGGCTGGATCTAAAAGTCCCACCCAAGGCTGATGTCCCTCCCTCCAGGATCTTGTGCTCAAGAGTGGGGATAATGAGAAAAAAGAGTGCCCAGGAACAGGCCACCCTGTGTCACCATGCAGCAGAGGGAGGCAGGAACGGGGCGAGGACAGAACCCGTGCTCTGCCATGGGGATCTGCCATCCACTGACGGGCTTTGTCCTATAGGAACTCCTGGGAAATGGGCTCCTCCTCTGAGTACCTGCTCCAGCTGTCTCAGGAATCTCCTGAGAGCAGCCTGGGTGCTTCACCATTTGCCAGAAATTGGAGAAAAAGGGAAATCAAGGTCCCTGTTTTCCCTCTAAGGATGGATGCCACTTCATGTCTGAAGCAGATGCAGGAGATGAAGGAAAGGCCCATCCACGAGTGGGGCCATGGGGCACTTGCACAGGCCACAGGGATGGTGAGCCTGACTCTTACCCAGTGGATGGGATGGGGTTGGGGCTGCTTCCCTTGTGCTGTGGCAGCGGATCAAAAACTTGTGCCACTCGTGGGGGGTGTGGTGGTGCAAATCCACCTGAGAACATCTCCAGTGACAACTGTGACCCTGAGGATGGCTGTTTGTCTCCTGGGAAACAGGGGTGACTGTGTCCCAGCAGGCTGATCTTGTCATCTCCTCTGGGGAGGTGTGGAAGGGCTGGGGGGCTCCGGGGAACACCCCTGAACCAGGACTGGTGTGAGCTGAGCCTTCCACACCCCTCCTGGGCTGCAGCTCTTTCTGCTCCAGGAATGGTGGGTCCAGACCCTTCTGGACAGCCATGGGGTGGTTCTGCCAAGATGAAGTGGCCATTTCAGGGTTGTCCTCAGCCCTGCTTACCCCATGATAGTCCGCAGCATATCCCAAGCTGCTGAGAGCTTTGAGACACAGGGAAGAGCCAGCCGGGAATGCTGGTGTCCCTCTCTGTCCCAGGTGGCTCCTGATACAGTCCCTGTGATTCTGGAAAGGGCAGGCTGGACACCCCAGAGCTGGCGCTGGAGCGATGCGGGATGCCTTTTGTTGTCTTAATTGGTGCCTGGGCGGGACAGTCTGCCCCTGCCGAAACTGAGTCATCCCACGGCAATAACTGCAGCCTGTCCCCGGCTGCCAGGCATCCTGATGGATGGGAGGCAGCTCAGCCCTCAGCTTCCGCCACCCGGATCCAGCGACCTGCCGTGCCCCCGCCGCGGGCGTGAGAGCCTGCAGCGAGCTGCCAGAACTGCCGGGTGTTGTGGCACTCGGTGTGCGGTGGCAATAACCTCCCCCCCACGCTGGGGGCGTGCGGGAACAGCTCACATGGCCCCACATCGCACCCCACCGTGTCCCTTGCCCGTGTGTGTGGTGTGTTTGTGGGGGGAGGTGGGGGGTCACATATGGGAGATGGGGAATGAGGCCACACATACCCCAAGGCGTCGAGTCCATGAGCAGGTCAGGAGAGTCGTGGGTGTCAGGAACAGCACAGACAGCTGGGAATGATGGTGGTGGTTTAATTTAAGCAGCAGTAAGGGCTTCCCTTGCTGTTGGCTGTCTCATAACACAGCCGTGGGTAGGGGCCCAGCCCAGCTTGGAGAACAGCCCTGCCTGACCTGTGACAGGGAGGACAAACCACTGCACCCAGTACAGCAGCAGCACTGGTGCAGTTACCAGGACTGGAACAGATCCCAGCACATGGCAGAGGTACCACGCTCAGGGCAAGGCAGTTGGTGGAAGCTGATGACCACCTTCCCCCAAATTCATGGGATATTCCTCCTTGGGATGCAGGGCAGAGCCTGCACCCCCTGCAGGTATGACAGGCCCCTCACAAGGGTCGCTCACAGGGATGAACACAGACTCCACTCATCACAGCAGTGGCTGATGTTATGTGCTGTCTCCTCTCTCCACAGCCTGCCCAGGGAGCCAGATGTGCGATGTCACAGCTGGTGACACAGCCCAGCCCGGCTGCAGCGTGCAGGGAGAGCAGCCGGAGGGGCGGGAGCAGCGCGGGGCGGACGCAGTGCTGGGGGGAGGCACGGTCCTGCAGGTCGGTGCCATCCCCCCCGGGGTGCTGGACAGAACCGAGCTCACTGACTTCTATTGCTGCTCCTGCTGTGGGAAGGTGTTCTGGGAGGGATCCCATTTTGGACGTGTCGTCTCCCAGTTTCAGGATGTTCTTGTGGCCTCCGGGGACGCACAAAGCATCTATGAGCTGAGCTGAGGGGAGATGCAGGGGCTGGGCAGTGGGACAGGGAACTGCCCAAGGAACCTGAGTGGATTTTGGGCCATGGGTTTGCAGTAAGAGGTTGGAAGCAGAGGGCCTCTTGTTTTGGGATCCACCATGGAGCACTGTCACAGTTGCGCTGGTGGTTTGCAACAGCCAAAAAACACGTGTCCTCCATGAGATCATTAAAGCAGAGGTGGCCAGGGAATGAACCCTTTGCTTTATTTCTGCCCCTCTCCAGGCTGGGCATGGCAAGAGGGTGGCAGAGCTCTCCAAACCAAAATCACCACCCCAGCAGTGCTGACCCCTCTCCCCAGTGCCCCTCCTCCAAGTCACTCCTGAGGGGGACACAGGAGCTGAGTCCCCAACAGCAGCACAGGGGGAGCATCTCCAGAGCCTGGAGTGCTCCCAGCCTGTGGGACATGTGCCACACCACAAGCAGCATCCTGCTCACCCTGATCCCGCTCTCCAAGCACTCCTCAGAGGCCATCGGTAGGTGCAGGAGTCCGGGGGGGCTGAGCCCTTGTGGGCTCAGGGAAATCTCTGGGTGCACCACAATGCCCATTGGCATCCACATCCACTTGTGCTGGGATCTGGGATGTCCCAGCAGGGCCAGGCTGGTTCTGGCGGATCCCAGTGGGGCCAAAGCTGCAGCCAACTGCCCCCCTGGGGTGATCCCTCAGGACATCCCTGTGCCTGGGGCTCTGTGTGGAGAGCCCAGGGCTGGCAGTGAGGGATGTGGTCCTACCACCTCCAGCAACCAGTGCCACTGGTGGGATTGGCCAGCACTCAGAGGAGGCTGCACAAGCCATGGAGATCCCAGGAGAGGCGAGGAGTCCGGGTGCTCCAGGCACTTCTGTTGGGTGCCTCCAGATCCAGGGCCAGGCTCACACCACTTCACCCTGCAACTGAGGAGTGTTTGCAAAACTCCAGGTTAACTTCCAGACCCTACTGTTATTCCTGAGAGGGCCCGAGGAGCTCTTGGCTGAGGTGTGATGTTTTTCAGCCAAGGAAGCACCTGCACTGCACTTTCCCTCTTCCAGAGCTCCTGGCCACACAGTGTCACGGGCTCCTTTCGCCCTTAGGGATATCTCACCCTCCAGCGCAACGCTTTAACAAAAAAAAGATCGTTTTTCCACTTTAAATATCCCTCTTTCCACAAGACCCTGTCTGAGCTTTAAGTGACCCTAAAATGTGACTGTACCTGCACTGTGCCCATCCTCACTCCCTGGTGGTCCTGGGTGAGTCCTGACCACGGACATGACCCTCTGGTGACACTTTCCATGGCCACAGTGTGTCATTTTGTCCCTGTTTCCATCAGAAATGGTAGATAATCCCTGTGCCCACACAACTGTCCCCATCTATCTCACAGCCCTGCCACTGCCCCTTGATTGCTGCCATGGAGCTGCATCCCTGTCCAGTGGAAGCATAAAATAACAGCATCTCCTTCACCAGTGATGAACAAAGTTGAGGTGGACACCAGTGTCACTGTGACAGAGTGGCTGTTACCATCTCAGCATGCACCACTGGCCCTGCACATGCTGAAAGGTTTGGACCCATTTTGGAGGGCAGGGATGCTAAGCCTGGCCCCTTTCCATTGGAACACACAAGGGTGAGAGTCATCCACAAGATTTGTGTTTCCCGGGAGATTTGAGGGGGGGGGTATTCCCTCTTTCCCTGCACTTTTCTGGCAGAACTTGGAGAGGAAGCCTCCTCCATGGCTGAGAATCACCATCATCATCACAGCAGTGTCTGCCAGGGAGTGGTTGTGTGTCAGCAACAGCCTCAACCACTGCTCTGCCCATGGAGGGACAGACATGGAGACCACACCTCCTGCTGCCAAGGCTTTGGCTGTGGGGGGGTGCTGGGTTTGAGGGATTCCTTAAAAGGCTGCATCTACTCTCCTCTCCTTCTCCTCTCCCCATACAGTCAGAGACAGGGAAGGCCATTGTTCCCTCTGATCCCCTGGCCCTGGGGTGGGGTCTGGCCCCGTGGAGCCCCCACAGCCCAGCCTTGCCATGGCACTGCCCGGGTGCCCCATTGTCCCAGTCCAGTGGGTGCACAGCACTGGAGCTCACCAGACAAAACCAGTCTTTGAGAAAAACCTTCCCTCACCAGCACCTTCACCCCTCCTTTCCCATCTCTCTCAGTTTATGCTGGAGATGGCTGCTGCTTCTAGAGATGGGCAGAAGAAAAACAGGGATTCTCCCACTTGACTGGAGGTTCCTGGACCCTGGCACACCTTCTTGAATGTGCACTGACACCTCCAGCCATGGGGATTATTTTTCCTAATGGGATTAAAATGCCTACTGCTCATCTTGTCCTCCATGGCTGTCATTGTTCCATCCACTCTTTCCATTTTTTTGTCTTCTTAGTTGTCTACATTTTTTGCACATAATCTTGAAGGAATTGTCTTTCACTTCCTGGTTTTCCAGGCCTGTGCTCGCTCTTGGTGTTAATGTGTTTTTTCTTAATTCACTCTTCATCTAAAATGGAAATTTCCTCTTCACTTTTACCCCCAGGTCATTTTTATCATGTTTCTGGTGCAACAGCTTTGGGCCAGGCAGTAACAACAGGGGACAAACTGGCACTATCACGTACCCTGGTCTGGTGTGCTGGCAACTGCTTGTGGACCTTCTGGTCCTGGAAAACTGGCGCATGGAGGGACTAAATCTCTGCTTTGTTGATGATGTTACAGCTGGCTGGAGGCACAGACCCTGGTTTTATGTGGCCTTGGGCCAACCCCTGCACCTCTGGGCCACAATTACCTTGTCCTGAGCCATCAGGGTGAGCTCCAGGGCTGAATCCTGTGTGAATACAGAGCTTTGGCACTGGGAAACATGATAACAGGCTTTCTGCCTCTGTGTCATGGGCAGATGTTTACAAATTGTCCCCAATTCCTGATGGCAGCACCAGGCAGCTGAGGTCCCTCTGGCCTGAGCTGTATTTGGTTCTGTGACAGGACAGTGGCCTTGCTTGAGCATGGACATGCTTGGATGGAGCTGCTTCCAGTGTGCCAGCTGTAGTCTCAGCAGTGGGAGTTTTGCTGGTGCCCCTGTGTGTCCAGGTGACCTGTTCAGTGCCTGGAAGCAGCATGTTCTTAGGTTCAGGTTCAGCACCCTCCATGCTCTGCCAGACATTGGCTCCTCCAGTGCATGGGCCACTTTCTCCCTGGATGCCACTGGAGTTGCCACGTCCTTGTGGACCACCAAGCCCCCAGCTCCCTGGAGTATGTGGGGAGTGTCCTACGAGCAGGGGGTGAACGAGGCTTGTGCTTTGCCAGCAGCCCCTCTGTGCGAGCCTCTGGTGAGAGGCACCAGTGTGGTCACCGCAGGCGGCGAGCGTGGGACTGCCCACAGAGGAGGCTGAGCTGCCCAGCCCCCTGGGCTCCACGTGGACTCAGCCACGTGTCAGCATCCTGCTTCTTCAGGGGTTGCTCTAGCATGGCAGAACCAGGGATAAGGCAAAGCAGGAATGATGCAGAGCCCGTGTGGTGAGCGGTGCTTTGTCCTGCTGTGGGATGTTCACCCAGAGTGAGATGAACCTCTCCAGAATGGGATGAACCTGTCCAGACCCCATGTGGAGGAAACTGCTGAGTCACACGGGCATCTGACCACCCATGGGCACTTCTGGCCTTTGCTTGTGGGTTTTCCAGAGCTGTGGTTTCATATCTGTCTGCCACCCCTTTCACTGTGGAAGGGAGCTGGTGGGAAACAGGGACACATGGCCCTGTCCCTCACCTGGGGCCACCTGCCTAGAAGGGTCATCTCCCTTCTGAACCATGGGGACAGTAGGGTCATGTCCTTGACACCTCCAGGACTTCATCTGCCTGCCAGCTCCATCAGTCTGGGGGAGAGCTTTTGTGTTTACAGCCAGGGCTGTACTAGGGCAGGGTCACCAACATGGGACTTTTTTAAGAGACCAACCCAGAACAGACACCAGCAGGTCATGTGTACCTGTGGACTTGGCACAAAACAGCTCCCAGAGGATCCCATCCAGCTCCTGGGGACAGGGGCAGCAGCTGTGACCCAGCACAGCACCTCTCCCTTCCTGCTGCCCGCAGGAGGTGATGCCGTGGTGGGATCTGTGCAGCAAGGTCACCTCCAGTCATAGACACAGTCTACAGCAAATTCCATGTCCAACCAGCCTTGAGGAGCATCCAGGAAGTAATAAATTGTCCAGTTTTGAATGATGGATACAGATCAAAGGGAATTAAAGGAACTTTTTAATCAGCCAACAATATTGTTTCCCTATCTGGCTGCTTAAAAAGGTAATTACTAAATCCCATTGTCTGTGTCATACTAATGTTTAACATTTATCAGGGCAGTAACGAGCCCTCCATGCTTTTATGGAGCCATTTGATCCTGTGTGGGAAGGGCAGCCCCAGCAGGGATGGGGGCTCTGGGTGGGCTCCAGGAGACCACCAATCCCCCAGGTGTTTCACCTGTGCTCAGCTCCTGCCCTTGCATGGCAGGATGTGATCGTGGGGGGACTCTGGGATAAAACAGCACTGGAGAAGGGTTTTGTTGCTCATGAATGAGACTTGACTGAACAACATCCATCTCTCAGCCCTGGGAAACCACGCACTGCGTCGGATGTCAGAAGGTTCCTCTCCTCTCCTTGTGTATTCCTGCACATCCTTTGGAGCTTGATGGGGACAAGGTGTTTGAAGCCCAGGCCAGCTTTAGTTTACAAATGAATATATCAACATCGTTCCTCATCAGGCAGGAATGTACTTCCCTCCCTTCTCCCCCACCTTATCCCCATCCCCTTCCGAGCAAACTTCCTTCCTCCAGTAATCTGGAGCGGAAACCTCGCCGCATATTTGACCGGCTCACAGAAATCAGCTCAGTTTTCCCTGGCGTGACTTTGTGCCTTGAACTAGGGTTGGTCAATCCCTAAAGCAGCCGGTGAGGCAGGGGAGGAGGAGAAGGATGAGGGCTGTACTGCTGCCCATCCTCAGCACGGAGCTGCTCTTCCAGCCGGATGCTCCGATCGAGCTCCCAGTTGCTTGGCTGCCGTTTTCAAACAAACCGTCTTGTTTCTGGGCACGGACCCAGGGCTGAGAGCCCTGGCCTGGCTGCAAGCCCTCCTGCTACCCCACACCATGGGAATGCTGCTCCCATGAGCCAGGGGTCATTGCTGCTGGCCCCTCACTGAGGCAGGGAGAGGAGAGAGGTGTCAGTGCCACACAAGGAGGGACATTTGCATTGGCCAGGAAGATGTTTGCTCCCTGGGAAATAGCCTGGAACTGGACCCTTCCCCAGCACAGCTCCCAGGCAAATGAGCTTACACACACTCACCAGGCATGTCCCTCAGGGGGTATGGCCACGTTACCCCTGAGCCTGCTTAGATCCCAGGGATGTCCCCACGGAGCAGTCACCGGGCCAGCCCTGATGGGCTATAACATGTCTTTTGGGGTAACTGTGCAGTGGGAGCAGTGGGGTGACATATCCTCATCCCTGCAGCCACCACAAAGGAGTGGCCACACAATGCAGACAGGTTGCCCAGAGAAGCTGTGGCTGCCCCATGTGATGGTGTCAGTTTAGCAAAGCCTGGGCTGCAGCCATGGCAGTTTGGTGCACATGTGCTCAGTGGCCAGAGTGATGTCAGTCAAGGTGATGTCTCAGGATGACCTGGCAGCACTGGGACGCTGCTGCAGCTGGAGAGCCCTGCCTGTGGCACTGGGCGGGAGTTCTGCAGCTCCAAGCACATGGTGGCCTTTTGCTCCAGGAGCATATTTATGCTGTCAGATGCTGAGGTTGTAGGCTACATCAGAAGAGCTGCATTTTCAGCAGGATAAGGACTGACAAGATGGGGCACTGGAGTGGTTAAAGGCCAAGCTGCAGTGAGACAACCCAATCTGCACAGCCCAGCACTACATCCTCTAGCCTAGGGACACCTCCACCTGTGTCTGCCCTGGAGGAAAAGGACCACTTGTAAGGCTATGACTGTGTTTGAGTCTTGCTCAGGTTTTAAATCCTGTTTGTCACAGGCTGAGAAGGAGGGATCAGGCAGAGCAGCATCCATGGTGGCATCCATGGAAAGTGGCAGTCCCCAGCCCATGTTCCTGCAGTGGCTCCTCTGATGGGGGTGTCCCAGGAGGATGCCTCGGGCCTCCCCTGGTCCACAGAGCTTCCCAAATAACTTGTAAGAGCTTTGCTAGTGATGCCATGCTCCCTGCAGAAGATATGGGGCACTCACACATGTCCTCACTGCAAGACTATGAGGTTTCCCTTATAAATTCTCACCACTGGCTCAGTAGCTCTGCTGGTAGGGGCTGCAAGGTCCCAGCCCACCCGGGCACTGTCCGAGTGCTGCTGGAAGCTCACAGTGTGTGATGTGTCCACGGGGGGAGCATGAGGCCAGTCCTACGGCCGTGTCCCTGCTTGTGCCCCACTGCCAGCAGGGCAGCTCTCAGACCACACGGAGGGAGGTTTTCCCCCGAAGCCCCCCCGCAGCCCTTTCCCCACTCGGGACAGGCATTCCCTTTCCTCCCGCCAAAGATGAATCTGCACAAGGGAGATTGTTCCCACACAGCAACAGCAGCCCCCCGGGCCCGGGTGGTCTCCCTGCATCCCCGCATCCCCGCGGCCGGCCGGGCGGCACCGGCCGAGCCCGCCTTTCCCCGCCGGGGCTCCGGCAGCCGCTTTGCCAAAAAGCCGGGAGGCAAAGCGCCGGCGGGCCAGCGGCGGAGGAAACCTTCGCGCTTCCTCCAGCTCTGGGGAGCTGAGCGGGCAGGGCGCTCTCTCTCGCACGCCTTTCGCTGGGGCTCTGCGCTGGGAAGAAAAGCTCCCGTCTTTCCCACGCTCTCCGACACATTTTAATGAATTAAGTGGGGGCACGCCCCCTCGCCGCCTGCCCCGGATCCGTCCCCCCGGCTCTCCGGCTCCCTTCAAGGAGGCCTCCGGTGGTGGCTGGACTCTCGCTGCCGTGTCCGCCCGGCCTGAGGACGGGCACCGCCCGCTGGGATTTTTGGGAGAGGGCTGCGACGTGCCCAGCCCAACGCACCCAGCGCCGGGGCGGCTCCGAGCCCCGCCGGCAATGCCGGTGGCAGCCGGTCCTTCTCCCTCCCGCAGGCTCTCACGAGTGCGGGGAAATTTGGCCGTCACCTCTCCTGAGGAGGGGAAATTTGTTCCGCGCCTCTCGGCGTGAACGTTCGCTTAAGGCGTCGCAACTCCGGGTCCCTTCCCCACCTCCCGCTACGTCTTCCCCTCGTCTTAGAAGAGAGTGGATAAATCACTGGGTGGGACTATTGGCTTTGCAGGGCCCCATGCAGCGAGGACAGGGGGGCCTCCGAGCGCCTCCGACCCCTCCGCAGCCCCTTCCCGGCCGGAGCCGTGCGAGGAGCCTGGCCCGGCCGTCACACCGCTCCCGGCTCCTCTCCGGTTACAGAGCTGGGTACAAGCTGGGGTTGAAATGCACCGTTTCAAAATTTTTTTTTTTTTTTTTTTTTTTTTTTTTCCCTCTCTGCTTTTTCGCTCTTTTCCCTCCCTCCCTGGCCCCGTTCCCAGGCCGAGTCCTGCCCCCACCTGCCAGCCCCGAACATTTGCATGGCTGGGTCCCTGCCCGCGCTCTTTTTCTCACCAGTGTCACTGGCTAATGCAGATTTGCTTGCGAGGATGTAACTCTGGCCAAGCCCCAGACCGGGGAGGTGTGAGCAATTCCCACTCTCCCACGGCTCGCTCACAGGGCTCCACACCTCGCAGGATATGGCTGGTAAATGCACAAAATCAGCTGTCACGGGATATTTAGGAGTGGAAAGGAGAGGGCGAGCCGGGAAGAGTAGAGCCCCGACTCTCAGTCCATCTCACTCAGCTCCGGCAGAGCTGCCGTAAGACCCGCTGCCTTCCCTTTTCCAACTTTGCCGAGATGGCTTTGCTGGGATTAGTGCCAGAGAACGGTCACGGGCTGCGGTGGCTCCGCGCTCCCCACTGTTTGCTCTGCCGGGCTGTACTGGGCCCTGGCACAGCCGGAGCTGCCGTGAGTCACCGAGAGGCACGGCTCACCACGGCGAGTGACACCGGACAGCAGGACAGGGACAGCCACTGGCGATCCCCGCGGCCACCATGGCTAGGGTGATGGGGACAGAGCCACCACCTCCTGCCCGGAACGGGGCCCTCACGGGGAGGGACCGGCAGAGGTGGTTCTTTTTCACTCTCCTCGGGTAAGCCTGGCCCCTGCACAGCCCCCATGGCTCCAAGCCCTGAGCCCAGTTCTGTGTCCTGTGCCAGCTCGCTGGGGGCCCCGCGCCTCAGTGGCATAGGGACATCGTGGGAGAAGCTGCACAGCCACAGGAGAGCAGAGGGGAGCCTGCAGCTCCTGGCTGCAGTCACGTCCCAGCCCCCTTTTTCCGTGAGAACAATGGGCTGCGACATTCACATTAGAAAGGTGTGACTGGGAGAGCTCTGGCCTGGAGAAGCCAGTGAGACCAGACAGATGGAACTGGGACAGGGGTTGGGATGAGATGGGCATGGGTAAGGAGATGAGGATGTGGATTGGGACGGGGATTAGATGGAGATGGGGATGGAGATGAGTGTATGCATGGGCATGGGATGAGGATGGAGACAGGGATGGGATGGAGATGGGGGTCTAGATGGGGAGATGGGCATGGATATAGGGATGGAGTGAAGGTGGGAATGGGGTAGGAGTGGGGATAGGGATGAGAAAAACTACCTGCAGAAATGGACTTAGAAAGGTAGACCCTTATGGGAAGAGAAACAGGAGCTGCTTTACCAACTTCTTACAGCCAAAAGCAGGCCAGGATAAGGAGAAGGACCCAACTGGAGCAGGAGGGGTCTCCGGCTCCTCCAGCCGCTGGGAAAAGCCACAGGAAGAGGCCGTGGGGCAAATTGCACTCCTAGCTCACGGCCACTGTCCTCCAGCCATGTGACAGACGGCTCCAAGATGGCCCGTTTCATCAGCTGGGGTCGAATTTAGCAGTTGGCCAGTTTCTCTCTTTCCCTCCCCAAAAGGACACACCAGCAGTGCCAGGTGACAGCAGCTTGCCACCCAGCTGCCCCCGGCATGGCTGCTGTCACCTCGGTTTATGACACGCTCCTTCCTCTCTCCCCGCACCTCCCGTCCCAATCCAGCTGACCAAATGCCCGGCGGGGGCGTTGGGAGCTGACCCGGGAACGCTGCTTCCCACCCGGCCCCGCCGTTTGCTCCCCGGGGACCAAACGGGCGCGGGGGGAAGGGGAGGGGCCCCCCAGCACCGTTTCTGGTTGATGCAGTGTTTTCGGATACCTTTTTGCCCATTTTTGCACCTCCCCGCAGTGTCCACAGCTCCTAGTGCTCCTGCACCAGGAGTGACCCGCTGTCCAGCCGAGGATCACAGTCCTGGTGTGTCCTCGGCTGGGCAGTGGGTCTGACCCCAGATAAAGCCCCAGGCAACTGAGTCGCTCCAGGGCTGGTGGGACACAGGGGCGGCTGCATCTTCCCTCCCCACATCAATCTCACCCCTAGGTCCCTGAAACCCAGTGCAGCCCCAAATGGGAGCCCCCAGAGCGGCAAGACCCCACGGGTTGAACCTCCTATCCTGTTCCATGACCTGTCCTGGTTGACGTATGAGGACACAAACCTGTAGCAAACCCATGTCACCCCCAAATCGGGGGTAACTGCAGCCCCTCGGAAGCCCCCATCAGCGGGGTCCTGAGGGGTGTTTGGGGATGGGCACAGCCCAGATCCAGCGCAGCACTGCAGGGAGCAGCGGGGCCGGCTGCTCCTGCCTGGTACGGCACGGCCCCACACGGGCTGGCCGATCGTGCCCAGTGCCGAGGCCACCACCGAGCTGGGCTGTGCTGACCCGGGCTGTACCAAGCCGAGCCGGGCTGTGCTGAGCCGGGATGTACTGAGTTGAGCTATCCCTCACCAGGCTGTCCCGGGCTGTCCTGTTCCATGTTGTCCCTGTTCCATGCTGTCCCGGGCTGTCCTGGGCTATCCCGTTCCATGCTGTCCCCGTTCTGTCCCGGGCTGTCCCGTTCCATGCTGTCCTGGGCTATCCTGTTCCGTGCTGTCCCGGGCTGTCCCGTTCCATGCTGTCCCGGACTGTCCCAGGCTGTCCTGTGCTGTCCCGGGCTATCCTGGGCTGTCCCATTCCATGCTGTCCCTGGCTATCCTGTTCCGTGCTGTCCCGGACTGTCCCGTTCCATGCTGTTCCGTTCCATGCTGTCCCGGGCTGTCCCATTCCATGCTGTCCCGTTCCATGTTGTCCCGTTCCATGCTGTCCCAGGCTGTCCCGTTCCATGCTGTCCCGTTCCATGCTGTCCCGTTCCATGCTGTCCCGGGCTGTCCCGTTCCATGCTGTCCCGGGCTGTCCCATTCCATGCTGTCCCGTTCCATGTTGTCCCGTTCCATGCTGTCCCAGGCTGTCCCGTTCCATGCTGTCCCGTTCCATGCTGTCCCGTTCCATGCTGTCCCGTTCCATGCTGTCCCGTTCCATGCTGTCCCGGGCTGTCCCGGGCCCGCAGCGCCCCCCTCCGCCCCCTTCCGCCCTCGCAGCTCTCGGGCCCCTCCCGCTCACCCTCCAGAGAGGTGGGCGTGTCCATTCCCGAGTCCCCGCCCCCACGCCCCCGGGGCCAATGGGCTGTGGGCACCCGGCCCCGCCCCCGCGGCCGTGCCATTGTTATGCAAATAAAAGGGCGGTAAAAGGCGCGCGCGGGGCCGGGCGGCTCCAGAGGGCGCGAGCGGGGCCAGCGCGGCCGAGAGCGCGGAGCGGCGGGGCCGGCAGAGCCCAGCGGGGCCGGCAGAGCCCAGCGGGGCCGGGAGCGCCCACCGGGGCCGGGAGCGCCCACCGGGGCCGGCAGAGCCCACCGGGGCCGGCAGAGCCCACCGGGGCCGGCAGAGCCCACCGGGGCCGGCAGAGCCCACCGGGGCCGGCAGAGCCCAGCGGGACCCGCGGCACCCCCACCCCGGCGGCACCGCAGCACCGCCCGCCCGCCACCGCATGCCAGGGCGGGCGCCGCCGTCGCCGTCCATGCGGGGCGGCGGGGCCGAGGCGGCGGCATGAGCCAGAGCGAGGTGTCGCCATGAGCCAGAGCGAGGTGTCGCCGTGCGCGGCGCCGCCGCCGCCCCCCAGCCAGCGGGTGTTCCAGGAGGCGGTGCGGCGCGGCAACACCAAGGAGCTGCAGTCGCTGCTGCAGAACATGACGAACTGCGAGTTCAACGTCAACTCCTTCGGGCCCGAGGGGCAGACGGCGCTGCACCAGTCCGTCATCGACGGCAACCTCGAGCTCGTCAAGCTCCTGGTCAAGTTCGGCGCTGATATCCGCCTGGCCAACCGCGACGGCTGGAGCGCTCTGCACATCGCCGCCTTCGGGGGCCACCAGGACATCGTCCTCTACCTGATCACCAAGGCCAAATACTCCGCCGGCGCACGGTGATGCTGGGGCTGCTCCCCCGGTGATGCCGGGGCTGCTCCTCTTCCGCTCCCTCGGTGATGCCGGGACCGCCCCGCCGGTGATGCCGGGTCCCCCCGACCCCGCGCTCCCCCGGCGATGCCGGGGTACCTCCCCACTCCCCCGGCCGCCAGAGCTGCTCCCGCCCCCGCCCTGGGGGAATTTGGCGAAGATTTGGGGTCCCACGCAGAACACGCCACAGCTTTTACATTTTTAAGGTTTTTTTGTTGTTTTGTTTTGTTTTTCCTTCCAAGGGTTGTTTCCTACTGTAACATGTTTTTTTTCCTCCATCTACCTCGGCTGCACTCACAGTATTCACGGTTTCAGTTTGACATCTGGGCAGATGCTTTAACTCCCCCACGTCCCTTCCCGCTAATATTTAATCCCCCTCCCCTCTCCCCTCGCTCCCGACCCTCCCGTTTAAAGTATTCTGGCTCAGAAACGATTTCATTTCAACGCTACCCAAAAGCCTCCCCGCCGTCCCCCTCTGGTGCTGGGGTCCCCTCTCCCGTGCCGGCCGCGGCTCCGGGCATAAAGCCCCGTCGATGGGCTGGGGGCTCCCGGTCGCCCGCGGCCCTTCCCGGCGAGGAAGAGCGGGGAAGTCCTCCTCCTCTCCGAGGTTCACCCAGTGTTTTCCCACCGCTGATTTTTTTTTTTTTTTTTTTGTCGAGGCGACTCCGTTGGAATATGACAGACGTGGTTTTCTCACCCCGATTGCTCATCGTTTTGGTTGATTTTGCATTGGGTTTTCTGCCTTGGTTCTTCCTTGGGTGTCCGAAGAAAGTCTGTGTCCTCACCCTCTCCATGAATCCGTTTAGCACACGTGAGATCCCAGGAAAAGACATTGAGTCCTTCTGGTTTTGTGTATAAAGGGGGATTAGCAAATCCTGGACTTTTTTTTTTTTTTCCCCTTAAAAAAAAAAAAAAAAAAAAAAAAAAAAAAAAAACTCTAGAGGCAGAGGATTTGCTTTTGCACAGAAAAGGGGCGTGAGCGCTCTCTGCTGCCTACAGAGATGCTGGAAAACTACTGAAAAGAGTTTGGGAACTTTTTTTTTCTTGTGGTGAAACTTGGATAACACTTCTCAATGCAGAACGATTCACTTGACGTATGTACACTCACCTGCCTTTTATAGGAGATGTATATCCCGCAGTATATATCTTTATAAAGGAAAGGGAGGACGCAGAGTGAGCCACCCGAAGGCGCATTTTGAAGTGACTGCACGTATAATCGCAAATGCTGCTTTTTTATTGCTATGGCACAAGAACATCCATTTGGAAAATGCGGAAAATTTCAGAAGTCTCTTTGCTCCCGCTGGTCTTTCAGCCCTCTCCTCGCCTGCACTAAAGCCATCCGTATCACTGCCGTCTCCCCGCTCTCTCACACCCTGCATCCAAACCATTCCCATTAAAAAAGAGAAAAGAAAAGAGTTACCTGCTGGTTTATTTGGGTTGTGTTTTACCTATTTATCATGTCTGTATATATTTGTGGGTGAAGATTGTGAGCCTGGTTTTGTTTGAAGCTGGTGGTGAGTGTTGCAAAAATATGGTTTGGGAAATATGCTTTTTTTGTTGTTGTTTTTTGTTTTCCTAGTCTTAAAACTAAAAAAAAAAAAAACCAACCTAGAGTCTGCCATGATTATTTCCCATTGCACTGAATATTCTGCTTTGTCTCTGATGGTTTCACCTGCAGTTGGGGTTTTTTGTTTGAGGGTTTTTTGGTGTTTTTCTCCACTTTAACAACTTGAGATTATTTCAAAAGCTCCAAATTTAAAGAAGAAAAAGAGGAAAAAAAGCCCTGTCAAAAGCATCTACTGTTAATGCTGTAATTTGCAAGGAACTGCTTGGCCGAAGTCTTTCTGTGAGCATGGAAGGGGTGTCCAGCACTTCCACTGGTGCTTCTGTGCGATAGTTATGGGGTGGGAACAAGACCTTTTCTAGTGAGGTTTTGTCGTCGTTACCAGATGGTTGCACATTTTTTTTTTTTTTTACGTAAATGGATTTGCCACAATGACATGTCATAACATTTATGACATGATATTAAAAAGTGTATTGTAAAGCCAAGTTCTAGATGGATTTTTAAAAAGAAGTCTTGGTTATAAACCCAGTCTAAAGGGAGCTCTGTCCAGTGTTGTAAAGACAACATGATGTAACCCATATTTATATTTTTATAAAATACCTATTAAGACTGTGAATCTCCTGTGTGAATTGCTGGGTGAGTTGTTTAAGAAAAGTATTGTTCCTTTCCAGCCTCCTGGAGCTTTAGACACGCTGAGATTTTTGGGAAACTGTACGTCGGGGAAGGGGGTTTGCTCTGAAATTGTGAGTTGATGTATTTTTACATCCCTTTGTATTTTACTGAAAAGCTGCTGCCCTTCCTAGTCCCTAGAGTTTCAATTTTCTATGCAACCCCCACACCCCTGGTCTCTCTTGATCCTGAGAAGTAAAAGGGATGCAGATTGATTCAAATTGAAATGAGGGTCCCCCCACCCCCCTTGTTGGCTCATCGTGCTGCTGACCCTTCATGCCAAAACGGGGAGTACAATAAAAAAAAAAAAGAGGCAGGTGGGGGAGGCTCTTTCGTGCATGACTGGTTGCCTTCCAGCAGTCATCTTTTTAATTATTATTATTATTTTTGTAAGAAGAATATATTGATAATGTCAGTGAAATAAGCAGACATTGAAGCTGATGCACAGATTGCTCCAGAAAGGAGTTTTTCTGTAGATTTTTCTTTAGATGCAAATACCTTTTTTAATTATGTTAATTAATGTTAAGAATTCTTAGGCTTATATTGAAGCTGTATGTGGGTCACTATATGATCATTTCTAACTGGATAAAGTCTGTACAGTACAGCATATTCCTGAGTGTATGATATAGACGTGTAGCCCCAGAGTGCGAAATTTATAAATAAATTTTTCATTGATCTTTTTATATAAAAAAAAGGCTTTTCTGTTTGTTCTTTCCCGCATGGTTATGGGTGATGCTGGGTGGTTCCAGGGGTTGGGGGGTGGCTGGCTGGGTCCCCAGGTCTCTCTTTTGGTGTCAAACCTGCAGCTATTCCGTGGTTAAATGCATCCCTGCAGGGGGATGGCTGGGATGGATTTGGGGTGTGAGTGTGTGGACCCTCCCCACAGGCTGGAGGAAGCTCCCTGGGCTCAAGGGGTGTCCTGCTTTGCCCCAGCCCAGCATATGGAGGCTGGTGGAGGGGTGATGGCTTAGACCAAACCCTGATGCTGGATGAGCACACGGTGTTTGAGACATTCCTAAAGAAGCTACTCCTCCCAGTGGAGTGAGGGAAGAGCTCAGCAGCCAATCCTGGGACTGGCACTGGGGTGCATTTTTGGGGCTGCAGCCCCAGCCTCAGCAGGTGAGCACCCTCCAGCTCCCTGTGAACCTTTCCAGGATTTTTGATTCCAACCTGGGCCCCAGTGAGGGGTTGAGGCAGCCCCTCGGGCTGTGGGGGTGGGGTCAGTGGTGGCTTCAGCCACAGGGTGAGGGTCAGCCTGGGCTCTCCAGCACCAAAGGCATCTCTGTCCTCTCACATGGCTCAGAGCGGATCAGTGCCCAGAGCAGGCTGAGCCCTGCTCCTCTGGAGGCTTTCCAGGCAGGATCCAGCTGCTCTGGGAAGTGGGAAGAGCAGGGGCAGTGCATGCCTGCACTGATGGGGCCCTGCCCGAGGCCAGGGCTTTGAAGGCAGGATGCAGGCAAACCTCCCTCGTTGGCAGTGCTGGAAGTTGGATGAGGCTTCTTCTATATCAATACTTTTGCCAGCTCTGGAAATGCCTAATCCTGGGGAAATTTGTGCCACGCTCAGTTTGGCTCTGGAGTGTAGAATCACTGGGATTCCAGGAGTGCTGTCCTTCGAACACAGTGGGGAAGACGTGGGGATAAAAGGCTTGGTATGACCTTTGCAGACTCTGCTGGGCCAAGCCCCTGTGCCATCTGCTGCCAACACAGGACAGTGCCTGGGACAGACAGAGCTGGTGTCCCCAGGTGCCCTGGGGGTGCTACCTGGGCAGCAGCTCAGTGTGGAAAAGACAGGCACTGAGTGACCCAGATGGATTTGAGCAGGAAAAAAAGATGATGCCAAAACCCTCAGGCACAACCACTGGTGGGCCTGGGAGTCCTTCCCCAGGGGTCCTGTGGCAGCTGCTGATCTGTGGGGAGAGTGTGTGGGGTGGGCACCTCTCCCCTCTCCTACCATGGCATTGTGACACTGTGACACCAGCACATGCCACCAAACCTGCCACTATCGCTGTGCTCCCAGGGCTGGCACTGCAGGGTCACACCTGCAGGTGCAACTCATCCCACACTCATCCCTTCACAGCTTGGAATGCTGCAAAACCTCATCCTGACGCCTGTGTTGGGATGTCACAGAGCTGGGCTCAGCCTGGCTCGGCTCAGCCCTGTGGCTTCTTGCCCAGCACCTTGTCCCAGGGCACCAGCCAGCTGGGCTGACCTGGCCACCACCTCAAGGATGGGTTTTGCTGAGCAAACACTGCATCCTTGTGCGTGGTTTCTCTCTCCCCACAGTGGATGGGGTGGGCTGAGGTCTCTGGCAGGCCCTTTGCAGGGGATTTGGACACCCCCCCTGAAGCTGCCCTGTATTCCCTGGCTCCCATGTGCGATGGCCCTGGCAGGAGGGCCATTCCATGGGCACAGCTAAGCCCCAGTCCCCAAGGCTGAGCCCCTCAGGGCACAGCTGCCCCAGTGCCAGGCTCCTCACATCACCCTTGGCCACCCCACTGAGTAGTTCACCTCTTCAGAAACCCTGTCCAAGGAATCTAGGAACTGCAAAGCCTTTATTTTTTTTTTTCCTTCTTTTCTCTTTCCCTTTTCTATTTTTGCTGCAATAACACAGAAATATTGGCTGGTTTGGTGGCGTAAGCACATTCTTCTGGCATTTTTGCCTGTCCCTGGCTGTGCATTATTGTCCGCCGGCCATATTACGTAGGTGCTGTTGTTCCAAGAGAAACCAAAGCAAGAATTTGAACTTTCAAGTGCTTCCTGCCATTGTCTTTTGCTTTTGTTTGTGCTGCTGACTCCAAACCAGATGGATCGGGCTCCCCTCCGTCCGGTGGGCGATGGGAAGTCAACAGAGCCGGGCGAGGTTTGACAGCTTTGTCTTCTCTTCTATTGCCCTTCATCCGTCAAGCCCAGCCAGTGACGCTGAATCAGTCCTCGCATATGGATGTAGGGAAGGAGGTGGGATTTTATTTGAATTTCAGGGAGCTTAACACAGTAAGTAATGAATGAGAAAGAAAGACAGTGAGCAGGCGAGCAAGAGGGGACAGGCTGTAATCAAAATTCAGGGCATTTTAAATAGATGCTTTGTTGGGCATTTGTATGACTATGATAATGCCATAGCCCGGCAGATCCAAAGAGGAGTTACCTTTTTTAACAAAAAAAAAAAAAAATCACAATCAACCTCTGTTGGGTGCTGGGGAGGAGCTGGTGGCTTGGGCTGCCTGACCTCATTTCCAGACTTCATATTTTTTTTTCCCCTTCTTGAGGCTTTCTGGGCTCCATCCCTCTGGGTGAGTGGGTGGGAGAGGGTGGTCAGTGGCCCTGGGGGTCCTCAGCGGCTCATGAAGGACAGGATGACTCATGGTTTCGACCTGTTTTGCTGCTGACCCAAAGCTGCTACAGTGTTTGGTGCTGGGACTTGGTCCTGTCCCTCAGATCCATCCCAGGCTGGGCCTGGTCACCCTGCTCCTGCAGCTTGGAGTCATTTTGGGCTTGTCCTGGGGTGTACAGGAGCTTCACACCCTGCCATGAGGTGAGCATGGGGTTTTCAGTGCCAGCCTCCATGCCCTAAAACCACTGTCACTCTACAGACTCCAATGCTCAGAGGGCTGTGTCTCCTCAGGGATGATCCCAGGCCTGGGATGTGTCAGAACAGGGATTGCAGGCAGCTCCCATTTCTTGGTGCAGTGGATGTCCCCAGCGAAATGACACTGCTCCATGGTACGTGAAGGAGAAATATCTTTCTTCTCTTCCCAGAAATTCTTCAGCTGCCACGTTGTACTGACACACCAGAAGCACCCACCTCTGGGAGTGCCCAGGGAGAGGTGACCTCTGGTCTTACTCCAGGTGGGGCACAGACCTGCAGGTGCAGTGGAATTTTTGGCTTCTTCATTTTAACAGGTTTCTCCTCCTGAGCTATGGGAACGGCCAAGCATGGCAACATCCTGGTTTGGCTTGTTTTGGGGAGGACAGTGGATGGGGCTTGGGTCTGGAGGGGTGGAAGGCTGAGTGGCTGGAGGGACTGAGGGATGGCTGGAAGGGGCTGGGGGGCATCACTGGGAACATGGAGGAGTGGAGGAATTGGGAGATAAGGGCTGTCTGGGAGGGATGGGGAATAGAGGTGTGACAGGATGGATGAGTAGGGGACGGGTAGAGGAATGGACACAGGCAAAACTGGATGGCTGGAGGGATGATGGACTGGGGGATGGCTGGGACAACTGTTTGAATTGGAAACTCCTCATTCAGCCTGAATTCAAGAGTGTTCTGTGGTGGGGACCAGTCCCTGTGGACAGGCCAAAGAGAACAGCACGTCCAGCAGCACTGCCACACGATGGCAGATCTCGGCCCAGCTGAGCTGGTGGTGTCTCCTGCCACTTTTTAGGAAGAGGCTCCCCAGAAGGGGAAAATTCCCCAACCAGCTGCATGTTTATCCCAGACAGGATGGTCATGGCTGTGCTGACCCCTTCTCATGCCCGCCCTGCCATCCTGGAGGACCCAGACATGCAGCACAGAGCAGGGACAGAGTGGACCCAGCAAGCAGAGCCCTGCACACACCTGGCCAGAGGGGACATGGACAGAGGGACACGGGCTAGTGGTTCTGCTGTGATGCATTTGTTGGGCAACTGAGGCTGAGCCTTCACAGCCCTGAGACTGATGGTTTGTGCTCTGAAACACAAGACTGCACAGCAAGCAGATCCTGGCTCTGAATGAATTCTGCAGTCAAGAAGAGCCTCTGCCTGGAAGTGGCAACTCTGCAGCCTTCTCTCACCCCAAGAGTGCACTGGAACCTCAGTTCTTGTTTTCTCAGCTGAAAAATTCCTTCATACCTATGTCCAGCCCCCAGCAATGTTCTCAAACACACTGCAGTTTCACAGACAGATTCCAAATGTGCCCAACCACATCTCAGATTTCCTGCTCTGGACCAGACCTCTGCACACACCCCCCAGCATGCTTTGGGAGCTCTCACTGAGATGTCTCAGTGTGGTCATCTCTCTGCCAGCTGGGGCAGGAGCTGGACAGGGGTGGCAGCTCCCTGGACTCCTGATTTACCTCAGTTACACCTAAAATGCTCAGTCACCCAGTAGCTGGAGGGTTTTCCCAGGACAGGGTGGAGGAGCTGGAGGCTCCCCTCCCCCTGATGCCCTATTCCATGCCCACCCTGCCCCACTGAGAGGAGTCAGGTCTTCCAGCAGCTCAAAACCTTTGGGTAACTGAGCCGTGCTGTGACACTGACTGGGTTCTCTCCCCAGATGCTTCTATTTGGAGGTCACAGATGGGGGATCCCAACCCCAGCCTCAGGGTGCAGTCCCTGCAAGAAGAGGGGTGCAGGTTGGCCCAAGGCTGTGGGTACAGGGGGGTGCTGGCTCAGCACCTCTCACTCAGCCTGTGCCCGCTAGCTGTGGGGCACAGGGCAGCCCTGGCCTCACTCCACAGTGCCAGGATCAGGCCCTTGACCCCCAGCACAGCGCCTGGACGGGGAGCCTGTCCCTACCAGGTCCCCACATTTCACCCTGCTCACATTCACAGCTACGGTGACAACTCTGAGCCGTCCCCGTCCCATTTTCCACTCACTGCTCCCCCTCATTCAAAGGCTCTGTCCTTTTAAGCTATTTTTTTCCCCCTCCTATTCATTTCCCGGACGCCTCGATCCTTTTCTCCTGCCTAGCCCCTCTCCCGAGCAGCTGCT